ATCCTAAAATAATAGTATTATATATTGTTTGGTTAGGAATCTTTGTGAATCCTAAAATAATAGTATTATATTGTTTGGATAGTATAATGTAAACTAGAGTATTTATCCTAAAATAATAGTATTATATTGTTTGGATAGTATAATGTAAACTAGAGTATTTATGACACAAAATGAAAAATGGTTATCCACCTTACCACTTTCTACAAGGTTTTGACTTTTTTATTATTTTTTTGACACATTTATGACATTGTGTCAGCTTTCCAACAAAATCACTCCTAATTTTGGTGATTTTGCTTTCGGTGACACCTCATCAAAAGGTGTAAGCTTTTCATGTAAAAGAGAATTTAAACAAACAATGTAAACTGATGAAAGCTGACATTAGGACCCGCTTTTTTACACTTTCCATCCTTTTACATGTTAAAAACATACAACCAAACAGCCCCTAATTAGGCCATGTTTTGAAACTCCAAAATTGGATCGGACCAGGATTTGTTTTTTCTAAGACTAGAGTTGGTTTAGAGAAATGATAGAGGCACACTCTCTACCACACCTCCCCTCCTGCTACAGTGCACCGGGGGCCACTTAAGATTTAAAATTTAAATCTCAAGTGGGCCCCTGTGCACTGTAGCAGAAGGGGAGGTATGGTTAAAGGTATGGTAGAAAGTGTGCCTCTAGTGCCTCTCGTTGGTTTAAACAAAGTAAATAAATAAATAAATAAAATTGGTTCCGTTCTAGCACTAGCTTCACGGAACTGAAACTAGTTTTTCGATCAAACCATCAAAAGGCGGTTGTTGAGTATGCTAAACACTACCTCTTACATTTTTTATATTTGAACATATTTGGAGTTTACTTTTCTGATTACACGAAATATTGATTTTAAATTACTAATTGGTTATCGATTTATTTGAACTCTTCTTAAATCAGATCGCTTCTGACAAGAAAAAGGTACTATTACCCTCCTTTTTCACAAATATGATGTTTTTCAATACAAGTGCTACAAGTAACTTGGTAACAATTACACTGTTATAGTTTCCAATACGTCCTTAAAGCACACCTATCAGTTTAATCCATTGATTGTATATTATTAGAAGGCTCCAAACAAGGATCATTTAAGTTGTACTTTGGTTTCCTTTTAATCTTGAGTGGCATGCCCTAACCATAACTCTAACCACACACTCGCTCTTTTTTGTTACAGTGCATCAAGCCCCACATAAGATTTTAAAAATTTAAAATCTTATGTGCGGTCCGGTGCACTATAGCAAAAAAAAGGATTGGTTGGAGTTATGGTTGAGAGTTTACCATTTTCCTTTAATCTTGGACAGTGTTGGAGAATATATATATATATATATATATAGAGAGAGACAAGAGCTCAAGT